TCCATCTCTCCTGAGGTCGGTCAAAGTCAAGCAACCTCAGCTGTGGGGAGAGGATGGCCAGCAAAGGCTGAAAACATTGTGGTGCCTTATACGTAGGAAGTTAATATAGACACTCCAACTCTGCTTCCCTTATACCATCAGATTAGTGGAATCCTACAGTAAAATTATACATATTTCATGATCCCTGGTAAATAATTAATGTAGGATCTTGGTCTGGAAAGGAGAGGAGTGGGATGATTTTTATGGTCCAGTCTTCCACATTACTGTATGGTCTTACATCATTTCCTCTCTTTCAGCATCAACTTCTTATTTATAAAATGAAAATTGAATCAGATTATATTTAATTAGGTATTTCCTATGAAATTGGGAATACAACCACTTAGGTGTATCTATTTATTAAGGGATAAAGCCTGGTAAGTGGATTCAGAAGAGTGGACTCGGCTAGAGGCATAGCTGGTGCTATATCTCACCCCTCTGCTCAGCTCAAAATGATCCAAGCTAGTTTGCCAGAAGCAGAGCCAACATGAGCACACATTTTAAAATAAGCATACATTATGGTATGCCACGTGCTCAGAGGTACTTAGAGCTCACAGAGCCCCTTTTCCTTGAGGTGCCCTGGAAACAAAGTCACAGCCTCTGGGCACTCACTAGGCTGAGGCACAAGCTGGTTGGAGTGTACATACTGGAAAGGCCATGCCTGAAACTACAGAGAGCAACACTCCTTTCAGATAGAATTTGGAAGGCTCACAGGAACTTTTTTGGTGGTGCCCTGTGCTGTGCTAGATTTTCGTGCCCAGGCTATTAAAAGAAAGGGAAGGTTGTCAAGAAAAGGAAGGTTGCTGGTGTACATAAATATTTTAGGAAAAACAAATAAATGAAAACACATTTTTAGTTACTAATTTAAATATTTTGGGCACAGCAGATGGGGACATGGCTAAGGATGCTTGGACGATATCTTTAATCCAGCATGAAGTCATGAAAATGGAGACAGCACCATCTTTACTTGTAAAGAATGGCAAGATATAGCAGATAGATTTTGAATAATGTGAGTCCAATCCCTTTCCAAACAAGAACCGAGGGTCTCACAGATGTATCAGCTATCAAGGACTTACAACTGTTCCCTGCTAGTTGATGTGTATTTACACTATTGAATGATCATGTCTACAGTGGGTTATAAATTTTAAACATATGGAAGAAAATTTCTCCTTGTCACAGCATCTAGTTTTAGGGCATATTTTTACCATTTAAGTCAAATAAGACATCATAATAAACTGTAACAAAAATGGCTGTGCTATTGGTGTAAACCTAACACATCTCTGGTTTTCTGGAAATCATTCATAGCTGTGGCCCAATTTTAGTGCCTAATGAGCAGCAAGGTAGAACAAAGCCAAGAAATTCTAAATCAGCTTTTCACACACCCTACGCATGAAACTCCAAAAATACTGGAAAAACTAAACCATGGGAGACAGAAATTTCGGAAACATTAGGCATTCTTTTCCTCTAAACTTGACTGTGTCTCCAGATAATAGTCCTGGTAATTTGAGGTTTTCTTCCCTCTTGATACTGGCAGTTTGGTTACTCTTTTGAGGACAATTCCATTCCTCTGTGCACACTGGATGTTTTTGTGGCTCATGCTGGAGTTTGTCACCCAGAGGCTTGTGGATGACTCACAGCCCTAGTTCCAAGGGACCGTCCACGGGTCATGGAGGCTTGGAATGATGCACCATCCCAACACTCACTTCCAGGAAGGAAGCATTGTGGTTGAGGGGATAGCGACAAAGACACACCTGAACAAGCAACCTGGAGCCACCTGTTCTTGAATTTCTTAGCCGGTAAACCTTATTTGAAAGTTAGTGGCATAAAGTCAGAAATTAAACCAGCAGTGATTTGTTCAAGTTCCCCATCCCTACATTAAAGGAGAAAGCACTGCTGTTTTGTGAGTTATTTTAATTGTCTGAACCTTTCAGCATTTAAAGAGTATTGCTGGTGCCACCTAGTGGAACTACTGTGAATCTCACCATCTTGTGACGAATCCTTAAATCAAGGTATTTTCTGTAACTGCAACTAAAATTTGGGAACTAGTTATGGTGGTTATCCTTCTATGAGTTCTTCTAATATATGTTTTAGCATTTTTATTTTGACATGAGGATGCAGAGATACAAGGCACTGTTTTTAATTTAACATTACAGTTCTCCCAGGATAGTTTTTGGGACTAAATTTGTTATATCAGCATAATATCTTGTCAATGGCTCCAATTTCAAACACATTTGAACTATTGGTTCACTTTCAGGGGGTTTTCAAACTTTCCCCCCTCAGTGTTTGATAAAGAGGCGATTACTAGCTGCAATTCAACTTGAGTGCAGTGCATTTGCCCAAAATGTTAGCTCTGCCAAAGGCCCTCCAAGATGTGTGGACATAGTACTACTTCTCATAAAACATTCACTTGGTTTCCCCAAATCACTTATGAATGACCTAACAGTATTTTAACTGTAATATATTTTATATCATATCCTATGAGAAGCAACTGCTGAACTCATAATTATTTCTTTGGAGCTTACCTCACCCTCTTTGGTAAGCTCCAAATAGACATTTATGACCATTTGAATTCAATGTTCTGGCCACAGTGGAAGAACACAGATTCATGTAACACCAACCATATTAAAATTTGGAATTGAGAATGAAGCAGAGGTGGGAGTAGAGAAATAATCCCAACCATATACCTATATCTACCTATCTATCATCTAGCTAGCTAGCTATCTACCTACCCACCATCTATCTGCTTTGTCATCTATACCTATCCAACCATCCAGGAGAGAGAGAAAGGGAGAGATCATGTAATCAAATGATAAAGAATAAAGTAAATGAGGTCCCATGCTCAGATGTGTTTGAAAAACCTTTTTCAACAAAGTTAAGCAGCTGCTTTGCCAGAGAGCTATTTGTAAACTTTATATACTATTGTGCACTCTAAGTTTTCTGGGTGGGAGTGTAGAAGACCCCACAATCTTACCAGAAAGTTTTGAGCCCCAGTAATACCCATGTACTCTCTCCCAGAAAAAGTGTTGCAAGGAGCACACATTTAGACATTCTCTGAAGGACTGTGGGAACGGAGGGACCTGAGTGCTTGTTAAAACACAAATATGTGGGTCCTGAGCTAGTGTTTCCCATGCAGTAGGTCTGCGGTGGCACCAAATGTGCATTTCTAGCAAGTTCCCAGGTGGTGCTGATGCTGCTGGTCTGCAGGACACACTTTGAGAAAATCTGTTCCAGAGCAGCCTTTCCTATGCAGACAGGAATTAGAAACCATCCACCTGGTGTTTCCTTGTCAGCTCAGCTGTCTGGTTGAGACTAGGGCTGGGGACAGTGAGTGGCCTTGTAGCACACCATTTCCAGTTCTGTTCACTGGGCTTCAGGCCAAGACAGACTCGTGTTCACTGGGGATAACCCTCTCCCATGCTTTTACAGGGACAGGTGCAGACCTGCTCTCAGAATAATGTTGAAAAAGCAGCCAAATGCTCAAAAAAGTTAATGTTTCTATCACCTGACTCAATTACTGAAAGGTAGCTATTCATATGCCAATCCTTAGAATGGCCCATGCTAATTTTTTGTTTGTTTGTTGATCTATTAATTTATGTTTGATATTGAGAAAGCTAGGAGGCACATTCTTGGATCTAATGGGTTTCTCTGTACAGTTACCCATCTCTGCTCTGCCAAAATCATCATAAAACACAACAGAAACTCTCCACTCAGCTTCCTTCAACATATCCACTCCAGTCTGGAGGGATGAGCCTGGAGCCCCCTCCCTGATTCCCTTTGCTGCCCAGTTTTGTTCATTTTTGACGTTAGCTTGAGTATCACTTCTGTTATGAAGTGTTTCTTGAACAATCCTGCGGTGTTCCTTCCCCTATATACACCATAGAGAAAATCTTATTGGATGCGCTCAGAGCACCATGTTTCTTTTCTTTATCCCAGTTGTAGTTTGTACTTATTTGATTAATATCTGTGTCCCCAACTAGACTGTGAGTTCCACAGAAGTAATGAGGTTTTGCTCTTCAGTGTATCCCCAGCATCTACTTTAGTTAGGTGCCCAATTAATATTTATTGGGCAGATGGGTAGACAGACTATGTTCTACTTCAACAGCAATCCTGAGAAATCAGGAATCAAACTAAAGTGTCAAGGAAGGTGAAAGTGCATAGATTCACTTTGGGGGCTACCCTGGGAGAAAGAAATCAGCAGATTTTTCTGCACCAAAAAAGGGGTCACCACTCCTTGCGAAAGCACTTAATTCATTGAGTTTTCATTGTTTTATCTCCAAAGTAGAATAGGAGCTCTTCAGGGGTAGAAACCAAATTGTTTTGGTTCATCTCAACATCTTATGTGCCTGCATTTAAACAGACACTTACTAGATGTGTGGGGATGGGCAATGTTTAGGGAAACAGAAGGGACCTAATGTCTTAAGCTCAGTGGACCCTGATATTCCCAAATAGACAGTGTTTGCCTACTTCATTAGAGTTTCTGGCCTCCCCATATTTCCCCAACTTCGCCAGAGCTGTTAATCCTCTCATTTTAAACATCAGACAAGCAAAGCCCAAAGAGACTAAATGACCTATCCAAAGTCATGCAAAGTTCATGGCAGAGTGAGCATTAGAACTCCAGATCTATTGCTCTTTCCACTTCATTACCCAGTAATACTCTCTAGGCAAGCTGGCCCAGAAAAGGGCTTACCAGTTCCAGTACCAGTTCCAGTTCCAGTACCAGTACCAGCACCAGTACCAGGCTGGCCAAGCTCTGTCGGAATTTTAGTTAACATAGCCTGGTACAATTAATTCTAAATTCTGGATTTTATCTTCTTACAAAAAACAAATAAACAAAGCAAACTAAAACAATGAGTGAGCTACATTCACCAAGAAACATTGGCAAGAAAAAGGAATAATTTAAATGGACATTTTTTATGAGGGAAGCTTAAAATACACCAAAAGACAAAATATACCATATAACCCCATTTGTTGAAAATATCTTTTTATTATAAACAATATAAATATTTCCTAATACATTTTGCAAGTATAACACACTTTATTTCCTTTGCCTGAGTTTTTATAAACAAGGTCCCTTAGCACAATGCCCTTCCCTCGATGGCCATTTGTATGCTCAGCAAATGCCAGGCGCCAGGCCCTGTGGAAGGTTCTGAGGGATTCGACCGAAAAAATGAAAGAAAAAAGCACTGTTGCATATCCTCAAGAGGACTACAGTCTATTTAAACTGTTTTCTTTCTTTTGGGTGTCTCTATTTTAATATATATCCTTCAAATATATGAATAGTACATTTTAGTCTATATCTGTACAGCCTACATATCCCAAGTAAACTAGACAATTAAAATAAAAATAGGATAAAAGTGCTACTTTTTGTCTTAATCGGATAATTTATGAGAAAGTGATGCTGTGGTCTTAAATCATTTTGATAACAATTTTAATACTTTGATATTTTTGAAAGACCTGAAATATTTGAATACAGAGAGATTTTCTTTATCTTCTATAAATATGCAAAGATATATTTGTCTTCTTTGAGAGTAGCCATTGAGTCATTGCCAAAAATGAAAATTAAACAGAATCCAAAGGTCACATCTACTGTCCTCACTATTAGTCTCTGTCTCCCATCTTATCAGTAACTCTGATATGTCCTTAGTGTTTGTTATATTTTCAAATGTTACAAATATTTTCAACACAAAACCCATACTATTTTTGTACAGTTGTTTACAATATATTTATTACAGACAGACATTTCCCTTTGGTTTATATTTGTTCTTCTGTAGCTACCATATGGTTTCCCAAATTCTATTTTGATACTATTTTATAATTTTTGACAAAGATGATTTATTAATTACATAAGTGTGATTTATGCCTTGCAAATTTTTCTTATAAATATATTAAAAATTATGCTAAGTCTCTTTGACAGACCATATGTTCCATTTTTGATGTGGGACATATAACCAATAATTGCTTCTATATCACACACAAGAATTAAGTGATCCTTAGAGATACTGAATTTCATCATCTGAAGATTCAATGTGGTTCCAGCCACATACAGCCATATAGATATTTCATATTCAAAGATAACTTACTGAAGCTTGTTCACAGAACGAAGCTTTCCCCTGATATCTTTCCCGCTCCCTGCCCCCCATCCCATACCCTTGGAAGTATTATCCCAAACGTTCTTCAGGATTTAGATAACAATATTTAAAAGATGCTTAACACCCCAAGAGGGAGTGTGCTGGCATGACACGAACAACACGGTTAGTCCAGATGCTGTATTCAAATTGTATAGGCCCATTGAAAAAATAGATGTAACCTATAAGAGAAAGAGCAAAAATATTTTTTTAGTTTGAAAACAATAAGGGTTTACTCCAGATACCATAAAAAGTTCTGTTAGATGCCATATTTTTTAACATGCCAATGTTCATCTTATTCATCTTCATAAACCCTACTAATGCTTTAATATATTCCTTATAGTTGAAGGGATAAAAATGGTCTAAAAGTTCCCAGCTCTCCTAAATTATCACCTCACATTAGTTGTCTTGTCATGAGCTCGCATTCTGATGTCTGCAGTATTGATATTAGTTGTTTGTTGTAAGCTAGGGACAATATCCCTTTTCATAATTCAAGTAAAAGTCATTATATAGTTATGATAACCATTGGCCTTCATATGTAACTTACTTCCCACCCTACCCCTGATTTGAGTTACAGAAATATTCCTTGCATCCTGGCATCTTTAAGTGTGGTTTAAGATAACGTTTGAGGTTTGATATCTTTTATTTGTAGGATTAGCAATGATTAAATAAAATTCTCATTTACTCTAAGCACAATATTTTTTGTTTGCTGTCTGTGGAAGTATTCACACAGGAATGACTAATTTCTTAACTGCCACGCATTTATTATCACATCTAAGTCCTGTAGAAAAACCTCTTAGAAGGGAAATGACTTTGAGGGACTTCAGAAGCCCATTACAGTCAGTGAAATGGCGTTAGTTACCACTTTTCTCGTAGACAGCATCTACGTTGTCACCAATCCCTGGGAATTCCTCTTCTATTAGTCTGGGGTAGTCTTTATCCATTGTGTGGTTAGTATCGTCATAGCTATTTAATAAGAAAAAAAATTCTTAAGTAGGTTGAAATATTTAAGAAATTACCTTAAAAATGATACAATAGATATAATGGCATCTTTCAAAACTGACAAGTTTAAAAATTGTAAGTTCATTTAAAACATCTGGTAGCTTCTTAAAATAAGAGATTATAATGCTGAGTATGTAGTGGATGTTTGGTGAGTATTTTTTGACTTGCCTAAAGGCCATTTTTGTAAAGAGAGTTACAAGCTCATTTCCACTTTACAAATTGCATGTCTGTTATAAAAGTATGTTATTAGGAAAGTGTTCTTAGGGTGAAGCCAACATATGTAAATGCATTGAACAAATTTCTATTGATCTCCCATTACATGTAAAAGAGATGGTTTTAGCAAAGTTGAGCTATGACAAACAGCTAAGAAAGAAAAGGATGGCTCAAATGAGGTGAGAATTATATAAATACGTATAATTTCAAGAGGACTTGAAACTTTAAAATCTCTGAGAGGCTGCCTGCAGGAGATGACACAATATAGAAATTAATATGACTGGTTGAACGTTTTAAACAAAGCAGGAGATACTAATGTAACATAGTGAGAGTTGTTCAAGGTTCACTTCACCTCCATGACACAAGGTACTGGGTCAGGAAACGTGGCCTCCATACCTCCAGACCTGCTTCCCCGAGAAGAAGAGAGTCTTCCCCGTATCCTCAAAGTGAACAGCCGCACTTATCTTTTTAACCTCTTTCGGAAATCCTAGTTCGGATATTTTTTGGGGATAACCTTCCAGAATGTCATAACCATTCAGAGCCCAAAATTTTCTGCCTAGAATAAGTAAAAGATGGTTTTATTATCCAAGGGAATCCATTCGGAATCACACATATAGACATTTATTTTAATAAAGAAGGACTCATACATTTAGAAATAAATTAGTATTTGTGGTCGATAATCAATTATTTAGAAATAAATTAGTGTTGGTGCTCACCATGTTTATGAAACACAGAAATATGAGCATCCTTCAAACAAAAGTATGACTTAAGGTTTTAATTTCCTAATTATGAATATGGTCAACCAAATATAATAATTAATTTGGTAATTTATTACCTCTGTATATTCAGTTTAAAGCTGGGTGAAAACTACATTAAGATGTCTGCATGAATAAGAAGCACAGTAGGAATGGTAAGTAGACTGAAAACTCAAATTTTATATGAGATAAAAATTTGTTATTTCTGCCTCTAAAAATAACTTCATTATAGCATTAATTACAAGAATCAAACAGTAGAAACAATGTCAGTAGAATGCTATGAAACCATTATAAATTATGGTCATGATGGTGGAGTGACAATTTGGAAAATTTTTCATGATGTTGTGTGAAGGTAACAAGTAGAATATTAAAATACATATATAATATGAATATATTTAAAAATAGTGTTACATATAGTGAAAGACTAGAAAAGAAAGTAAGAAAATGAAATATGCTAAATAGACTTCAGGAGGGGGAATTATGGATAATATTTTTTCAGTTTTTCAAAATTTACATTGTTATAATGCTTGCTCAGTAAGTAATTTTTATTTTATTTTTTAAGTATTTTATTTATTTATTTTTTAGAGAGAGGGGAAGGGAGGGAGAAAGAGAGGGAGAAATACATCGATCGGTTGCCTCTTGCAAGCCCCTAGCTGGGGAACTGGCCCTCAACCCAGGCCTGTGCCTTGACTGGGAATCAAACCAGCAACGTTTTGGTTCACAGGCTGGCCCTCACTTCACTGAGCCATTCCAGCCAGGGCTGTAAACAGTTTTTAAAAGGAAATAGAAAAACTGACATGATTTCTATGAAACACAAAGTAAGTATTTATCATATACAAGGGGGACTCAAAATAACCAGAATTATCTTCTGGAGGGCAGGCCCCTTGTAATGCAGGTTTTCTTGCTAGATGAGTATGTTCTAGGAACCCATCTACACTGGTATACCAGCTGGCATTGTTGTGAGAGGCTGTGTTTGGCTTCAGTGAGTTCATTTGCCCATTTCATGATGGATGATCTATGAGCACACCTGCCCACACTGGTGCAGTGAGTGTTCAGCAGTTTTTGACCAAAAATTCACAACCCCCACGCTCCCTATTTACCCAATCTTGCCCTGAGCAACTTTTTTTTTGTTTTCTGGATAAAAAAAAGTCCTCAAAGGGAAACGTTTTGCTGATATGGAAGAGGTTAGCAAAAAACAACAGAAGCACTAAAAGGCATCAAAATCAATGACTTCAAAAACTGTTTTGAGCAGTGGGAAAAACATCTCGATAGGTGTATTGCATTAAGTAGAGAGTACTTTGAAGGTGACTGAAGTTTTTAAGCATACAAGAATAAATACACAATTTTTTATAAATAAATTCCAGTTTTGAGGACCCCCTTATATATTTTTTATAGCCTTATATACTTATGATAATAATGTAGACTTGTTACTTGTAAAATCTGAGGACACTTGGTAGAAAGGTTTCAGGTGCTTTCTGTTTTCCATTTTGTTGTACTTGGTTTTTAATTAGGTACATTTTCGGGGGTGGTCATTTTACTAAGTCTCTGGTAGCACCAAGTTCATCCCTGTCTATCCTAAACATGTGGGAGGCCTTGTCAGTGGAAGGCTTACCTCTAAAGATGAAGATAAGGTCATGAGAAGGATGCTCGTATGCAGCGTCAATACGGTTGGGAAGTTCCGGCCAAAACGATTTTGTTAAAAACAGCTCCGCGTCAACCTGCTGAGGATGCAGGCGCCAGAAGAATCTAACACAAAAATAAAAATACAGTTTTCTGTCACTTTTTAAGTGTAGTATTTCTATCCTGCCAGCCACCTGTCTCTACATTAATGCAGACAAGTTAGACACGACCATTCTCTAACACCTGTGATGGAGGAAAAGTTTCCATTTCCCCTTAAGTGCCAGTTAACCAAGCTGTTGTTATCCTAACCCTACCCTAAGTATTAAAATTTAAAGTCTCACAGAACCTTTGTGAAAAGCTATAAGTCTTTTGTGGGTTGAGACTATGTTTTGCTCAATTTTTCATGTCTTGAAAGTGGTGAGCAAATATACCAGGAGGCCCTACAAAGAAAACACGAGTTACATGAACTATGTCGGCCAAGATCTCATGGCCTGGGGAACCTGAATGAGAAAATACCTGCAGTAGAGTACGGTGTCACTATAGCTATAACAGGAGGTAGAAATGCTAACAGGTCTCAGATGAGGGAACAATTAGTTGATGAATGAATGAAAAAAAAGCTTATTTATAAACATATCAATATTAAAAATTACTATTTCATTTTTCATTAGCTATAGGTTTAGGTTGTAAAGCACTCCCTCTCTCGTATTCCCTCGTGTGTACCCAGTGAAAAACCTTTCACACTGAAAGGAGTTCATGTGGACATTATGAGTAACAGTTTATTAATATGGTAATTAATTTCCATATTTGTGTTCTTAAATAAATTGGATTTATATATTTACTTGACTATCTTTCTAAAAAAGACTATACCAAAGATATAAATATATCTGCACAATGCCAAGGTTATTTATTGAAAAGTAAGATGCTTATTCATTAGTCATTTATTTCATCTGAAATATGTAAATAAACTGCTCAAAGGTTTGTCACTGTCACTGCTAACTACACCACTGGAAGTAAGACCAGATGTTTTGCAATCTGCAGACACAGCTTCACAAATGTTTGTTACATGCAGATTTTATAAAATAACGTCAAGAATACCTACCTGTCTTTAAAGATTATTGTTTCTCCTCGGAGACTGGTAATGGCATCAAGGGATAGAGAGGGGTCACATTTGTCTGGTGTTTTGGGGTGTTTAGGGTTGGGGTCTTCATCTCCTGGACCTGTGATCATAAAATAAATGAAAGAACTTACCGAGGATGACCTTACTGATGACCCGGCCCTGCTAATGGAGAGTCGGAGTGGGTTGCCTCCCAGGGTGGGGGGCAGGAAATCCTGCTGCTCCTGCATGTCAGTCCAAATACCATGTAGTCAGTCCTACTTCCTTCCTCCAGGGCTACCAAGGCCTTGAAGGTGGGACTTCCCCTTCTGCTTTCCTCCTTCAAGACACTTTGAGTTTCATTTGAGGTACAAATTTACATTTCTTGAGGATGATGACAGAAATGAGGGTAAGGGACTTTGAGGAAATGTCCCCATGCTTTGCACTACCTAGTGAGAGCCTGCTCTTGAGAAACACACTCTTCTTAAAACCATTTCTGATGGCCCATTGTCCCTGTGGGAGCCCTTATCTGAGCTCTTTCTCTTACCTATTTATCAGCTGTCCACATCAGCTAATGTTGCTTCACAGTTTACCACAGTGCAGCTGCAGCTCGGTGAAAAGCCAAAACCAGGCCTTCAGCAACACTAAACTGACTCACCACATGATCGTAACTTTGCCGGCTCACATGAGTGCAAAAGGGGTGCAGTACACCGCAGCCATTCTAAACTGCTTTTTCTCCACCCAGTTCATACGGGTTCTATCATCAAGTCTATTGGTCACAGTACTGTAGAAATAGTAAGAATTGCAAAGCACTTGCCCAGACCTACACTAGCTGCTATAGTAGATTTAAATCCAGAAGGGAAATAATGGGTTGGGAAGTATGAGCAAGTTTTCTGAGCTGTGCTCTGGAAGTGTTTACACTGATGACTGTGCACCAAGGCTTCAACTCTATTTTTGGCAGGTAATTTTGTTTGTTTAGGTTTATGTTTAATGACTTTATAAATATTATTGACAATTTGGAAGGAAAAAAGGAAGAGAGTCATACAGTGGTCAATGTATATGTTGATTAAAAACTATCACAGACCACTTGAATGATCTATACTGTGGCAAAGCAGAGTTGTTGAAAGAATGCCCAGAATTTATAAAAGCTGGGTGAGATATCACTTTCACCCTCAGCTGCAGATATGTGATTTCAACTCTGCAGGGCTTAGTGTCTTCACTGGTTAAGTGGGGCATAAAATATTTTCCTTTCTTATGTCAGAGGTGTTTTGAGGGTGTCAAATGTACCTTGAAACATAGAAAGTACAAATATAAAGAGCTATATTCTACAAAAACTTTGGAGAATAGAATACTTTCTACTTGAGCAGGTAGGTCGATTTGGAAAAAAATAAATGGGCCTGCTTTCTCAGGGTTTAATAACAATACTACAACAGCAAAAGTGATCATGGTAAATTCACTAATAATTTAGTAAATAAATGTATATATCTAATTTGTTTCTAAGCTGATAAATTAAGAGTTACCATAGAGAGACTGGATCCCTTGTACGTCGTCATCGGGAAGCATGAAGTGACTTTTGCCGGTGTAGGTGTAGATGGGAAACATGAGTGCCCCCGGGTCCTTAGAGTGGTCAAGACCCAACGAGTGGCCAAACTCATGGGCAGCCACAAGAAACAAGTTGTAGCCTGTATGAAAACACAGCAACAAGGAGAAAACAAGGTCCTCCAATGACTACTTAATGAAAGGAACGCTATTATCCTCATCCATTTTGTATGTCATCATTTCCCGTCCTTTGCTAAGGGCTCACTTTTTAAAATTAACATTCAGTTGCTTAAGGTAAGATTCAAAAATTGGCTTAATCTTTATAAATAACTTGGTATTCTCACTATAGTTGCACATAATTAGAGTAGCAACAGATTGCTCTCAAGTAATTATAAACAATAAGAATTCACTAGCAATCCTGACTATTCTCTGTTTTCTCAGGGCAGATGAGGAAAGTGCATAGTGGTGACCTTATGTGAGAGTTCATGCAGGGTGGGCAAAAGGGGCTTTACAGTGGTGAGTCTGCAGAGCAGAGTTTATTCCTGTATTATTATTTGTTAATTATTATATTATTTTTCTACACAAAAAACCGTAAACCTACTTGCTCCCCACCCTGTTCATAGGATGCTGCCTGGAACACCATCCAAACAGGAGGCAGCGTCCAGAAGGATGGAAACCAGGTATGGGGAGCGCAGTGAATAGGGTCTCTGAGAATCTACTTGGGAACAAATTGCATCCAAATGACCCTTTTCAGAATACCTCCAGACCTCAGAGTTCACAGAATCAGAAATTCTGAAGAGGATTGGCCAACTTCCCTCTACTTGAAAAGACTATGATTCTGTATTTACATTATTTCCTCTACTTATCTTTTCCACCAGTTTTTTTAGCCTTCTAATGCTGTACTAGTATTTTAAATTGGAGAAAGATTAAAAGAAAAAGAACATATTAAAGCTGGAGCCAGTGGTTTCAATTCGGCCTTAAATTCCCTTTGCTATCACAGCCTATGCATGAAGAAAAGGCATAATTAGGCCAGCAAATCGTGCAGACCCTGAGAGCAATCAAAGTTCACATAATCTGTGTGACAAGTAATTGGTCACTGAAATGACTAGGGATGGACACCATTTTGGCCTTTAGCTGAAAAATTAATCCTGATTTATATTTGTGTATCAATCCTGATACACAAGAATTAATTTCAATTAAATCTTTTCAACCCAGAAGTTACGTAGAAACCTAAAACTGAGGTTTATTGTGACTCTATCTTAAAAATGCTAAATGTTGTTCTTTCTGTCTAAACCATTCTTACCTATGAAATTGTCAGAAAATAAATATGTAAGCTCTCATCTTTCCTTCCAAAGAGAGACTGGAGGCAAGGGAGTTGAGATGTTGATCATTCAAGGCCCAGTTCCACTCTTTGAAAAAATAATCCTTTTAATTTAAATTAATAATAAAAATGAGCTGTCTATTAAGACTTCCTCTAACTGTCACAACTCAGGGTCAGTACGGCTTCAGAGTTACCCAAGTCCTAGTTGGAACAACCTGATTGTTTTTCCAAAATTAACATTTCCAATTCTTTAGAGCCTTGAAGATTCAAATACTGGCTGAGGTTATTCAACCCTCAGTTTCATTTTTCTCTTGTAAATACAGCCTTCATCTTGTCTGCCTCATGCTGTCGGGAGTAAGACACTGCCTCGGTCTGTTAGAGTGGTCGGAATAAAGTCAGTGACATAGACAAGCCTGGGACAGGCAACGCACATAACAGGAAACAGAAATTGGACTGGGCTTGTGCCTTAATATTTCTACCAGGGTAGACATTCAAAAAATAAATAAAAACTATTTAAATGCACATCCAACTCATCTCTGACCTACATATCCAGCTCTGGTGGTTTTAAGGTAAATGTCTGTAATAAACTGCACTTACAGGCCAAAGGTACCCACCGCAACAATGCACTGGGCAGCAGGAAGACATGTGGTCCATTTCAAAGTGAGCAAGTATCTCTTAAGCCGCTAAACTAGGCAGATTTTGCTCATTTTTAATGTTTTTACATTGGTTTATAGAAATGTCACTTAAGAGACTAATAAGTATAAGATAAACTTTTATACTCTTTTGGAAAATATAATCAAATACTAAATATAATTTATATGCTTTTACATATAATGCATATGTGTTCTAATGTCTTATCAATGGGTTCACCATCTAATCTAATCTCATAATCATTCATTATATCTTTGCAAGAAATATTACCTTTGGAACAACTTGTCCAAGTTTCATCATCATCAAAATGGGCATCTCCTCCATAATTGGGCCCAGGAGGGAAAGCATGAGCCAGCAGACCAGAGGGCCCATCAAATGGGTAGAAGTCACCATGCTCTGCACAAAAGCAAGAGTTCAGAATCTAATTATACTCAGTGGTGCCTAGCACAGGACCTTGGTGAATTTTTGTTGAATTCTGTAAAAAGCAATGAATGACTTAAAGAATAAGTTTAAAGCAGAGCCAATTAAGGGGCAGAATATACAAATATTTCAAACATGATTTTGTGTTATTACCTTTAGTTCCAAAAGAGATCATGATGTCAGCAGTGCCATTGTGAAGTCTGGTGAAATTCAGCGGCGTCACATCAGACCAAACTTTGAAGGCTTTTTTGAATGCCTTATCGACTTCAGAATGAGTCATATCAGGGGTATAATTCACAATTCTAGTCAATAGAAGAAGTTTCAATTACATTTTTAGAAGGTGAAAGTTATTTTAGAATATATTTTCTTGGAATGTAGCTTTTTAACTCAGAATGTAATAGCTTCTCTAAAAGTTCTACTAGAGGTCTGCTGTTTTAACTTATTAATTATGATGTCATACAAAGATTTAAAAATGAAATTTTCAAGCAGACATTTTGAGTATCTCCAAATATCTGACTAATTGGCATTTTAAATTTAAAGTATTTAGATATTTTAAAAAACTTATATTGCATGCTAAAAGTTTAGAATTGTACTGCTATAGCCTCAATAAATGAATAATTCTGTAAAGTTCCTGGAGAGAGTAGAACTCTCTCTTTTTAGTATTGTTATAATAAATATGCCTTATGTACTACCTTTGAAAATTTTGTGAAACCTCCTTCTATTTCTATTTTGAATCATATCTGAAAGAAATACTTGGAGACTTCCAATGAAAAAATAATGCCAGTTAACCTAATGATAATTGATGTTATGAGACATTTTCATCAATAGTATTAAAATTATTCCTGGACTTACTTTACTTCCAGTTAAATATTTAAGGCCTATATTAAAAAAAACTGGGACCACACATTCTGTCATCTGTAGCTTATGCTGAAAATTAGATATTTAATACTATAAAAAAACTAACAAAAAATACAGAAAGAGAGCCTATGATTTACCTGTAGGTTAAATTCATTTTGGACCACTTGAGAGTTCTAGGGAAAACATTGTATTCACCCACATCAGGAACCCCGCATCTTGGTTTTTTCATGATGTCTAAAGTGTTGTCGTCAAGTTTGCCAGTCACCTCTAAGCCAAAAAAAGACTGCATTTCTCGGAGCCTGTCAGCCATGGAGTTTGCTGCAGTCTTCTTCAGGATGCCGGCAGGGTTCAGGGGGTGGTAGTATGATTTAAGGTAGTGCTAGAAAAGAGACCAAAATGACCTGTGTTTAAAAGAGAAGGGCATTTATGATATATATCACATCGTTGGAGTTGGAGAGACACTCTACCTCTGCAAACTGGAAGTCCTCCTCAGACAAATCTTCATCATCTTCATCGTTGGGAATGGGCAGGGACCAACACTGTGTCCAGCTCAAGAAGAGGAAGACAGCCAGGACACCTGAGTGCATCTTGAGTGGCTGCTCCTGAAGCCTGCTGCCTTCCCACAGACAAGCACCTTTACTTTTATAGGCCCACACTGGTGAGTCATCATTTGTGGACAAGGTTCAACTTCCTAGTCAGTTGAAGGTAAACATGCTTACATGGCGACTTTTTTTTTCCTCTCCCAAGAAGTGAGGTTTGTGGTCAAATTTGAGGGAAATATAAAATGAGGGCATCTCTCATTTCAGCAGGGTCTCAAATCCCATCTGGTAAAACAAATGGCCTCAGCATATTTACGGATGCTGTGGGAAGAAACAGAGAGTAGTGACTCTGTTTTTCACTTCATTTGGCAAAAATGTTTTTCTCTCTGCAGAAACACACCTACTTTTACTTTTTCAGATAAGAATATGAAGATAGTGCACCTACTTCCATAAAAAAGAAACCTGTCCTACTTCCAGGATGTTTATAATGTGGTGAGTTCTCAACTCTGTTTTCTTTAGAGCAACTAAACAGAAATATTATACCTGCCTGAGGGTCATGCATGGAATTGGACCAGAACCAAGCTGGACTTGGAGGCATTATGGCGCATCCACAGAACCGAATACTGACTGTGGTTGGAATTTAAAAGTACAGTGTGATATCTCAGTGAACATGAGTCCTGCAGGAATTCCCAAGTCCAGGCAGAGGGAGGAGGATGTACTGGAATAAAATACATGGAAATACAATAGAATGGCTAACACATATTGAGGGACTTACAACATGCTAAGCTTAACAGGTATTACCTTATTTAATCCTTACAACAGTCTTACGAAGCAGGTACTACTGAAAAACTTGTTTTCACTTTACATCTGAATAATCTGAGACATAGAAAACTTAAATACCTTTTTAAGATCACATGGCTAATAAATGTACTTCCGGAACATGAATCCAGGCCAGTGCACTCAGACTCTATGCTCTTAACCAATATCCAATACGGCGTCTACTCCATCTATTTTCAGATATTTTCTTAAAAACTTAGCTTCTTGGTTCCCACACCTCTGGAGTACCCAGGAAAATCAGGACTCTAGGTAAATACATGTCCAGTTTCAAATTGCTCAATTTTTATTTTTAATTTTGAATGATGGAAGTACTTTTGGTGAAAAACAGTTCAGGAAAATAGTCTTCTGGGGGCTTCCAGTCTGTTACTCCTTTCAGAAAGTCACACATTTAATACCATGAAATCAGAAGGCCATTTTGGTCCTTTGCAAATGTAAATGAACACAGATTTATTAAATAATTGAAAATGCAAGTTAATTTCAATGACTGAGAGTTGGAGAAAAGCTTGGGTCAGGAACATATTAAGATAAAGAGAATAAGCATGAATATACCCTTAGGGTGAATATGGGAGGGGTACCCCAAGTGGCTAAAATACTATAATCTATACTAGTCAGTACCTCAGAGAAAACCAGAAAAGCCTATAAAATGTAAACAGTTACATTTGGGATTGAAAGTGGGAATTGAGGAAAATTTGTTGCTCTTTTATCCAAGAAACAGCCTAATAGATACTTATAATAGATTATTTCCAGAGTTCAAGATTAGGTTTGGGCTCAATCGGTAGTGCTAAACAATAATTTGTTTTAAGCCTTCTCTGTGTACCATATTGAATTTTCAGATTAAGTGAAAATTATGCAAAAGTTTGATTCATGTATTAAGCTTACAAAAATTAGTTCATTAGAAAGCATTTGTTTTTACCAATAAATGTTCATAATCTTTTAAAGTCTCTTTAGATAATAATCTTTGAAGAAGTTTAAAACAAGTGACATTTTGTTTTATGTTTGAAAGTTAAAGAAAAGAATCAAATAGGCTAACAATACTTAAAAATTTCCATATATTTATAGAAATGTTGTTACTTTATTTTTTTAATATATTTTATTGAGTATGCTATTACAGTTGTCCCATTCTCCCCCTTTTTCTCCTGTGCCATGCACATGCTCTTTCACCCTCATCCCCCCTCTTTAGTTCATGTCCATGGGTCATATATATGTTCTTTAACTTCTACATTTCCTGTACTATTCTTAACCTCCCCCTGTCTACCTTCTACCTACCATTTATGGTGCTTATTCCCTGTACCTTTTCCCCCTCTCTCCCCACCCACTCCCCCACCGATAACCCTCCATGTGGTCTCCATTTTTGTGATTCTGTTCCTGTTCTAGTTGTTTGCTTAGTTTGTTTTTGGTTTTGTTTTTGTTTAAGGTTCAGTTGTTAATAACTGTGAGTTTGTTGTCATTTTACTGTTCATATTTTTTATCTTTTTTTCTTAGATAAGTCCCTTTAGAAATGTTATTACTTTAAACTAGACATTTTTTAGAGCCCTTTTATGTATTCAATCAATCAATATTGATTGGGCATCAACTATGGAGGATACCATGCTAGTCATCTATGAAGATGAAGGATAAGATGAGAGCCTTTTAAAAAATCATATAATATTGTTTCTCCCACCAAGAAATATTGTAATAAGAAACTAAAATATATAAATGCCACTATTGTTCAACTTTAAAAATAAGGTTTATTACCAAACACTTCTAGTATTTATTAGGTTCTCATTTCATTTAAGAATATCAGTAGTAAACCAATAATGGGGTGAGGACTTTCTTTACTAAGGCTGGAAAATCTTATCATGCCCTAGGCTAGAAGTTTCATTTTAGTGAACCCTCTAAACTAACTGGAATAAGATGAAGAAGGAAGTCATAAACACCCTCTTTGGTGCTTGCTTACTTTCTCAACTATATGGCAGCCACTGGCCAATACAGCCTCTTAAGTTCTGAGCTCTGCTCTAATGTTGGCATTCCTGGGGGTGACTTCCAAGCACTAGTTAATATCCTAGGCCAGACGGTCATTACACGGCTTATCCCCCGGCCTACCAGAGCAAGACCTTATTGAAGACTTCACACTATTCTAGGGTAACCAGAAACTACCAAAAGAGCTTTAGCACTTGATCATGACTCTTCCAGCCCCTCACAGTTTTGGGGTGGTGAGTGCTCTCTTATATGCACTTACCACCTTGGACAGGAAAAAACTTTAATTTATACTTAAGCGCATTTTGTACATTTTTTCTTTACCCAGAGACTTCCAGTTTTAGACTCTTCCTATGTCTATGCCAATGCCACCCATCTAGCTTATTCTTCCTTTCTGAGCCTTGGTATCCTCATGTTCCTTCTCTACAATTTGATAGAGCTTCATTTTGTCTCATTCAGCCTTGGTTTTGAAATAAAGCACAAAAGTCTAAAAAAAATATCAACAATGCAAAAGAAAAACACAGAAAGGTTAACGAGAACATGCTGTTACATTCTATAGATTTTCTTACTCGTGTAAATAAAAATTCCTCAGATTTAAGTAGAAATGGATTCCTTAAGAAAAAATCAATCAGACTGCTTGCCCACAGGCTGTTGTTCACGGAGGAGCGATCTTAAGATGGTGATCAGGATGTGTCAGCGCAGGGAAATGTGCTGGCAAACTGCTTGTCCACACAAGCCCTTATCTTCGGTTGTTAATTGTTAAGATGAAAGTCTGGCCTCTGGTTATCACTAGTGAAGTGTCTGTGGTTTCAAATGATACCTTTAACACAATGTGTCTGAGTTGGCTTTTACAAAAGTTTTTAACAATCCTACCTACTGGGAAATTTGAAAACCTGAAAACGAGCCAACAAAACTGTGGACTGAATTAGGAATGTGTATCTACTGCTGATTCAGACATAAGCAATATGGGACTTTTTAAAATGTATGTCGTCATGAGTCTCTAAATTAGAAACAATCCCCAGGAGAGAACCAAAATCACCTATGAACGGCCCTTGAGTAAAGCACAGGGGGATTCCAGATTAGGAATAATAGAAACAATGGGCCATTTGAGCTGGGTTAAAATTATGAACATTCCTTAAGTCAAAGAATCTTTAAGATAAAAATTTTGGCTTCACTTTAGAGTGTTGGAAATTGTGAATGTTGACAACAAATGACACAATATTACCTTTATTTTCTACAGGGTAACTGATTTGATTTGGTGCAACTGCATGAAGTAACGACTTATGTCAACACTCTCTGACAGTTGCTTTATTTTAATTTCTGATCCCCCTCTCCCATAATCCCAAGGAAAGGGCTTACATACTCTTAAAAAGAGAACTAAACTAGAATTTTAACTCCCAGTCATATTGTCAACATAAGAAACATCCAAACCTGTAGAGAATTTTTCTAAGAGTTTGAGCTAAAACTGACAACAAATGCTGGGGACGAAATCTAAAATGCTGCAGAAAATAACAGTTTGCAGTTTATTCCATGCACCTGAGACTACTGAGGGAAAGTAAGAAAGATTGCAAGAAGGTGGGAAAAAGGAAGGCAGGGATCAGATGACAGGACAATTAAGATTATTTGCTCTCTTGACAATGGTCAGGCTTCAGAAGGAGGGGTCTGAAAGGGGCATTTCAAAATATGTTAACCTAGATGGACAGAAACCATGAACAGAGTTTGCTTAAGGCAGAGATAATACTTTTATGAAAGAAGTTATATGCCTGGGCCCACCATGACTGCCTAGATAGGAGTTTATAGTCAGATCACCTTGTGAGGTTACTTTCCATAGAACACTTTTTTCACCCACAATATTTACACCCCAGAGTATGGTGTAAGAGTGCCCCACCCAACCTCTTTATGTGCAGCTAATCACAGCACAATCCCCAGGTAGGTGCCAAGTGCAAAGAATCTTATTTTTGGATGTACAATTGCAAAGCAGAGGGTCAGCAATTTAGAAGGTCATTTACTTTTAACATCTGAATCACATATTCCTTAGGGATGCTGTATTCATACTGGGTTGATAAAAAAAAAAGACTCTGCAAGGGGAAAAAAAAGGAAATTCCTTTTAGTTCTTACTGATATATGACTTCTGAAAGTCAAGACTTAAATTTCCTGGGCTCACCTCCTAATGAATTTTAATTTTTATTGTGTTTTGTTAAAAAGAGTGGTTATTGTAAACTGTGCTGCTATGAACATAGGGGTGCATAGGTTCTTTTGAATTGGTGTTTTAGGGTTCTTAGGGTATAGTCCCAGCAGTGATTTAAAAAAAAGAGTGGTTACTGAATGTCCACTTCTGCCAGATTTAACCAGATACTGTAAGATAAAACAACCAGGAAAAGAACACATATTCCAGCCCATCACTACCCAAATGTCTTTGAAAAAGGAAAAATCTGGATATAAACAAGCAAGAAAAATAGGGGCTTCATGGTTTTAACAATAAGCATGGCTATAAGCAATAAGCATGTAACAATGTCGTTATATTTAAAGATTTCTAATATTTAAACGATGAAGCAAGTCTATTTTTAAAATAGCCTAGCCTCACCTTGTTACCTTAATTCACTAAAGTAGTTGCTACATATTATTAAATCAACTTCCTGATTTAGAAAAGTAATATTTAAAAAAGTAACAACCCTATTAATGCCTGGAAAATGGGAAGAATCCTAGAAGAAAAAAAATGCTGTAATACCCTAAGAATTTTTAGATAGCTGTCATATATATCCTTGAAGTTGATTTATTTAGATGGTAGTCAGTCACCAAGGTTTTTAAAAACAACACTTTCTAGAACAGAAAATCTTGCCATGTTGTTGTTATGTTACTTCTACTTTATTTTCAGTTTCAGGAGAGACATATTTAATGAATACGGCCGTAACCATCTTCCACAGTTTGCCTTTCTTCATTGAATTTATCATGAAATTGAGAATAAACTCAAAACTGCAGAAAATACATTTTAATAATGCAATGCATTAAAGAAGTTAATATTTTAAATTTTTCTATATGCTCTAGTTAGTTAATTTCAGAAAATTATAGAAAGGGCTTCACTGCAACCATGAACTGACAACAAAGATTTCGACCTCAGTTTGGCTGCTTGGACGACTCCATACTTCCGGTTACTTGTCCACAGTAAACAAAGGCGGTCATTTCAGCGTTAGGATCACGGACAGCAGCCGTGTTCCCTCGGGTGTCTCCTGGGAATCTAAGTCCACTGACTTCCTGGGGCCATCCTTCCAGCATTGCAGGAGGGCCTCAAACATTTTTTTCTGTTAGTAATAGTGAGTCAAAGAAAGGTCTTATTCCAGACAGCAAAGTTATCACCAAGCAACTGAAACATCTAAGTGAAGGCATGTGATCAGCTGATGGATTAGAAGATGTGTGCTTGGTGTTTGACCCCTCCAGTGAACCAGCCTTTAACTAAGTCTATGAGAGCCGTGCAGAGATTGAGAGCGCAGGCTTCAGGGTCAGTTACACCAGCTGAAATCCCAACTCTGCCATTTATTAGCTCCCTGTCATAGAGCAATTTGTTTAATCTCATGGACACCAGTGAACAGCACACATCAAAATCCTGGTCCTCGTGAAGCCAACACTCTAGTAGAAGGAGAGAGATAATTATAAGGAGAAAAACAGAGCAGGAAAGAGGGATTGGGGAGTGAGGGGTCAAGGAGGAGTACTATAGTTTATACACGGAGGCAGAGACGGGCTCGCTGAGAAAGCAGTGTTTGAGCAAAGACCTGAGGGAGGAGAAGGCATGAGCTATGGAGCTATCTGGGGGAAGAAGTTCTTGGTGGAGAGAACTGCAAGTGCCAAGGTCCTGAGGTAAGAATGAGTCCGGTATATATGAGGGAGGCGGCGAGGAGGCCAGTGGGGCTGGAGCAGAATGAGAAGAAAAGTTCCTCGTCTTAACTAGACAAATGGGATCACCACAGTACCAGCCATATAGAATATATGAGAATTAAATGACATAATGATTTAACTTTTAAAAAAAATTGTATTTAAAAAAATTTTTTATTGCTGTTCAATTGTCTTCATTTCCCCCCACGCCAGCCATCCCCACTTCCCATGCTTGATCCTACCCCTCTTTGATTTTGTCCATGTGTCCTTTATAGTTGTTCCTGAAAACCCTTCCCTCTTTCTCCCCCCATTATCCCCTCCCACCTCCCCTCTGGTTACGTCAGTTCATTCTTAGTTTCAGTGTCTCTGGTTCTATTTTGCTTGCTTGTTTGTTCTGTTAATTAGGTTCCACTTACAGGTGAGATCATATGACAATGATTGAAGAGCACTGGCATATAGCAAACATCTGATGTTTTCCATTAACTCAAAATAACTAACCTAAAATAGCGCCCAGCAAAACTATCCTGCACAGGAAATGTTGCATGAACAATATTGACAAGGACTCTTACATATTAGAAGAAAGACAAAGCAGACCCTGAAGAAAGGTAATTATGGATCATTATGTATGTTATTAAGAATATAAAATTAAGTGATGCTATGGAATTATTGGAGGCAAGACTGAGAGGACAAACATTTATTTGAATGTCAAGGAAGACCCTTCTAAGGAGATATCTTTCAAACTGAGACCAGAATGACAGGAGAGGCTCAGCCTCCGGGAGCAGAGTATTAGTCTCAGCAAAAGAAACGGGAAGCACAAAGGCAATGGGGTGGAAATGAGCTTCTGCTCAGGGAACAGAAAGAAACAGGCGCTGGAACACGGTAGACGAGGAGGATGGTGGGAAGGCTGAGCTGGGAAATTTGCAAAATGTCAGCCTGGGGTTTGTTTTCCAGGCTATTCCACTGCATACCTCCCAAAGTAGATATTAGGCCCCAAATTTGACTTACATGTCCTTAAAGGAAAATATTTTTTTCTCTTGTAACTGCATAATGGCATCAAAGTGTGAAGTCTTAATTATATTTCTCTGCAGCTTGGCCATTAAATGATCTCTTCTGTGGATCTGAAAGTAAGAAAATAATGACCCAACATGATTCTTTGATTTGCCTCAGATTGTCTTTGAATTCTTTTCAAAAATAAAATAACCATTAGCATTGTAGTTTGATGTCTAGATTAAAATGTGGTAGGAAGACTTTGCATCATGTATCATGGCTTATTCCTAATTCTTACTCTAATAATGCCCGTATTTCTCTGTGTTTTGGGGGTTACTGGTTCACTTTAAGGTGCAGTTGATGTCCTTAATTTCCTGTCTCCAACCCTTCTGCTGCTAATTGCTTTTCCTGGGACCTCTTGCCAACTGGTAGGTTCAGCCAGTGGGAGGCACTGGGGAGCAGAGAAGAGCCAGGATTTTCCTGTCCTTTCCCCTCTCTTCCCTGGGAGGTGTGGCTGTCCCCAGTTCAGTTCCCCCTGGGCAGTCCCCACAGGAGTTCTAGCCCCCCCACCCCTTCCCCACACCATCCAGGTTTTGCGTTGGTCCTGTCACACGTCCCCTGTGTCTTCTAGCCCCAGGGGCTGGTAGAGGCTTTTTGTGTTGCCAATTTCTGGGTCAGTTCACTCTTTTCTGTTTATTTTCTTAGTTCTTCCATCACCTGTGGAACTTTACCCTCTGTTTAACATCTAAATGGTTTCTGGTTCCTGATTGTATCCTGACTGATACAGTTGACAATATGAGGATTAAAATGGGAAAAAAGAAATACATTTTCCAGTCCCAATCAGCACTAACTTACTGTATCTTTTTATATAATTTAATGCATATCTTCATGTATATACTATATATAAATATGATGTTCTTAATTAATTAGACTTCCCATTAATTAACGTATTATATTATGCATTAATTAGATTATACATTTCCATTAATAAATCTCCTAGTATTAACAGAATTTTTTCTCACACAAAATTTGCAATGAACTTAATATAAATTATATGAATTTTAATATGATAAATTTTGTAAAATGGTAATCTGTACTCTGCATCAGTCATGTACTTACTAAACAATGCACAATTATAAACTATTCTTCTGAGATGAGAAAAAGAGTTAGAGAATCTTAAACTAGAGGTAGATAGGTAATTTAATTATTATAAAACATCCACCCTGAGGTAAGGTTAAAGGTTCAGATGAAAAGTAAATGGAGGCCATCCTGACAACCCTGATTCCCTCAGACCTGGACCTGCACAAACTCGTGGAAAAAACCTCTCCTCATTATGACGTGTCTTAGGACTGCATTTTCCAAAAGGAGTGCTGTGAAACCCTACTCCATGGATGTCAGAGATGTTCCACCAAATTTAACAGCAGAAAGGAAGGGAGGGAGGAGTGAGGGAGGGAGAGAACGGGAGATTTCTACAGTTGAGTAAGTTTGGGAAATTTTGGGTTAAACAACTGTGAACCAGTTTCTTTCCTGGAACACTTCTCAGAGCTTTATGACATTATGAAAATCTGAGAGAGGGTTAGAGCTTGGAGTGATTCCCTCAGTTATTTGAGCTTAGAATATTCTTTTGGGGTTGCTCCTTGCAGCACTGGAGCCCCATAGCACACAGATTGGGGAAAGCTGTTTTAGGGGATTCAGCAGGCAATTGACAATTCTGTGACGAGCAGAAACCCAAACTTCGGCAAACCACGGAAAGCCTATATGCCTGCATCAGTCTCAGAGACCTCGCCCTTGCTTGGGCGGACACATAGCATCATGTGGGAAACACCAGAGCCCCCAGGTTGCCAGAGTGATAGACAAACTTGTGGGCAGCAGCAGCAAACAGGTTGGAGTCTGCAGAGAAGCACAGTGTTGATGATCTAGGTAAAAGCCACACAAAATTAGTTCTTGTAGAGATTTTTGAGATGGATTCCTCCAGCCTTCTCAATTACATCCCTCCCCAGTTTCATATTTAGGGAAGACAGACCAAAGCCAAAACCTGTAAGGATGCCTTCCTCAGTGGTCTGGGAGAGTGACCCTGATAGACACAGTGTCCAAGGGGTTCAGGTGGGAGCCATTGAGATTGCGTTGCTGATGTTGTTGTGCCCTTTGACCCTCAGTTGTAAGACAGCAATGAATAAGAGAAAAATTATGGTCACTTTACTTTTAGTGAAAAAGTAGAATATATGGCCACCACCAACCATACAGTTTTACCAAAGACCTAGTTAGTTTTAAATATGTAACAGAAGGGGTGGATACTGTACTGCCAGTGGACATGGGCCCTGAAGCCAGACAAACGGAAGCCTGTGAAGTGGGTGGGAATAATGAACAAACTAAACTAACAAGCAAAACAGAGACTCATAGACAGCAGGATGACAGCTGAGGGCGGGTGAGGTCGGTTGGTGGGTGGAATGATTGAGCAAAAAGGAAAAAGGACTCATGGACATGGACAATAGTGTGGTGATTGGTGGGGCGGGGGGTGTATAAGGGGACTAAATGGTAATGGGAAAAAATATAAAAAATTTTTAAAAACCAGTCATAGGATTTGTGAGAGAATTTAATTGTAAAGAACTTGGCATATTGTAAGAGTTCAATAACTGTAATTGAGATTAGCTTTTGTTGTTGTTTATATTAACAATATCCAAAACACCTGGCAAATAGTTAATGTTTAATATATAGTAGCCATGAAAGATTGAAATCTGAATTAATGGTAATAGAGCTTAAGCAAAGTTTATTTGGGCACTATAAAAACAACTTCTGAGTTGCAAGTAATTATGGACATAGGAAGAAAATTCAAGCTTGAGGCTTTAGATTATGTTAAAATATTTAGCAACATTTGCATAAAAACAATAAACATGTCAATAATAATAATTCTTATTGATTCTGGCAGAAAGGACTTGGCAAACAGAAGTATTATTATGTAGTCACACACCCTCCTAATTCCACATTTGTCCAAGTTAGGGCAGTTTTTACAGCAAGCTTTCCTAATGCCCATTGAGCTCTTGTGAGGTGTATTTGCTGCGCCAGCTTGGGGGCGGGGTGAAATGTCCTTCTAGAGAGAATGTAGGTAGACATTTAATGCCTGTGCTCTTAATATAATATACCTCTTGATATAATATTTAGTTGGCATGTTAGTGAAGAGTAAGAATATAATATAAAGCAGCAAAACATAAAGAACATTGTTTTATGTCTTAATATATGACAATGTTTTGTGAATCATTGTAAATGATTCCACCCCCCTGCAGTTTAAATAGTCAACAATTGGTAAACTTTGTTATATTTTCTTCAACCACAGAGGCAAAAAACTGGGCCAAGTCAAACTTCATAGTGTTACCTCACAATCTATGTGGTGTCAGCTTAACCTCCCAAGACCTCAGAAAGCATTTGGATTGATTGTTTTATTGCCATAATTACCATTTTGGGATGTGAGCTGGAAAACTCAATGTTTTGTCCATATCTATATATACATATATGTAATGGACAAAACAATTGTCTCCCAAATGGGGGATTTCTGGAATTTTGACTACTCTTCAAGGTCAGCGATTACACAAGTTCAGGAATTAGGAATACACCAGTCCTAACTGAAGAATATTCACATTTCCCTTTGAAATTATTTGTCCAGAATTCATCCTCATTGGAGTAAACATGGCTGCCCTGACCTTCATTGGGAGGAAAGGCATGAGCCAGCTGTCCACAGGACTCATCAGATGGGGAAGAATCTTCATGTTCTCAAAGGGAAAAACCTCAGATAATAATGGAAAATTTTCAAGACAAGAACAAACCTATCTCTTTGGGTAGAGTGTGTTGAAAAATGGGAAGTCTTTGATAAGGACAATGTTTTTGCTTTTTTTCTGTTATGGTTCCAGGCAGTTCTGGAGCGTGGGCTTCAATGTAGAGATGGCCGAGGCCATGAACCACACCACACACAGCCAGTCCCAAAAACAGCACAGAAAGAGCATCAGGAAACCCTGATCACAAAGATGTGAACCTCTTAAGGGGGTAGACCCCAGCTTCCTGAGGAACATGTGTTGGCCAAGAAGCACAATAAGAAGGTTCTGAAGAAGATGCAGGCCAACAATGCCAAGGCCATGCATGAGTGCATGTGCTAAGGCTATCAAGGCCCTCGTAAAGCCTGAGAAGGTCAAGTCAAGATCCCAAAGGGCAGCAGCCAAAAGCTTAATAGACTTGCCCGCATCACTCACTCCACTTGGAAATGTGCTCACGCAGGCATTGCCAAGGGCCTCGGGCTCTGGCCAAGTCTCAAATCCAGGCCCAGGCCCAGGCCCAGGCCCAGCTCGCAGCTGCAGCTCCTGCTCAGGCTCCAGTTCAGGCTCCCAGCGGTGCCCAGGCCCCCACGAAGGGTCCAGAGTAGAGGCCTGAGCAGTTTTTAAATCTAAGTAATTACAGTGTAGTTTAGTTTTTTTAACCAAAAATCCTCATAAACACATAAATATTAAGGCTGTCTCTAAAGAAAATTTAATATACCATGGCATACCTTAGATTTCTGATTTTATAGGGAAATAAAATGAGTCATCAAAAGGATAGATTTTAAAAGTACAATAATCTCTAAAATTCCACATTTGGGGGGTCACTAAAATGCCTCTGTGAATATGTGTGTTAGTCAGAATGGGAAATTACACTTCCAGATCTTTGCCTTGAAACTGTGGCCCATGCTGTCCAACCAGCATTCAGTGAGACCCAACTCAGTTTATTTTACTGGAGTTTTCTGGGACACTGCTGACAGCATGATCTTCCTTGGAAGCTGAGGTAAGTAATGATGAAAATATTGTCTTTTTTCTTTCTTTCTTTCCTGTCTTGCTTCAGGTTTATTTGTACAAATAGCACAGGAGGACACCAGTCCCATGCAGGGGTCAAAATCACACAAAGAGATAACATTGATGCTAGGATTAGAATCCCAGCCATGTGAACAGGACAGTCCAGGATACTATGTGTTACATAAAGTACTTCTTAACACATAAGTGTATGACCTGCCAGAGCTGTACCTTCCAGCTAAAGGAACATTATACATGTACACAGGAAAATTCTGAGCTGTCTTTTTACCTGTAGGTCAAGTTATCAGTTAGCCACTTCATTTTCTTAGGAAATTATTATATATGCCACTGTCGCACTGTATCAGGGACCCTGTACCTTAGCAGCTCCATAACATTTAAAGTTTCAGAATCCATCTGGCTGTTCACTTGTATACCAGAGAAGGCTAGCAAATGCTGGAGTCTATTCTGCAGTAGCTCAGATTTCTCTTCTGCCCATGTGTTGATCTCAAGGAAAGGCGATAAAAGGCTTTCAAATAACACTAGAAGGAAAGCACATGACCATGCTCATTGAATGGAGAAACTATCCACTAAATTAGAAGGACAGCAAGAGAAGGGGACCAGGACCTCTGCAGGAAGCAATTCTGCTTTGGTGAGGCAACCTTGTTCCCTATCAGCAGATAAGGGTACTGGGAGGGCCTGTGGACAACAAAAGTCCAGAACAGGAAGGTGAGCTGCACAAACACGGTTCCTCTGCTGCTCAGGAGTCTGCGGAGACCTTCATTTGGAGCCGGGGGTTTGGAGGGAGAACATCACAGAGCTGGTTTTATGGAGTCCAATGTTGGCATAGGATTCTCTCTATTTTGTTTGCACTCCTTTTATTCAAGGACAGCGCATTCTTTTGTCCAAAGTAAAAGTTTATGGATAAAAACAAAGGTTTCACCCCTTGTTTAGTGACCTTAATATAGAATACACATTTTGGTTTATTTTGAGGATTTCTTCTCTAAAATAGGCTAAGCAACAGGGAACTTGTAATTTACCCTCTGACACAGGAAAGAAGAAAGAGACTGCAGGTGAGAGAAGGGAGGGAAAGAGGGTGGAGGGAGAAAAGAAGGGAAAAAAAAAGAAGGAAAGAAACGGGCAAGCAAATAGAAAAGGAAGGAAGGAGAAAGGGTAAGAAGGAAGGGAAGTAGGTTAGAAAGGAAACAGCACTTTTCTGAGGTAACAAAGGGCCAAGCACTGTCATTTTGCATTCAGTCTGAATATTAGAGAGTGGCCAAGAATCTGAGCGGGTCTGCCCCAGACATCTAGGTGAAGGTACGAACAGAACTAGACAGGGCTGTGGGCTGGGAAGGCTTTTCCCAACAAGTCCCCGCAAGAACTACTAGTTTATTTCAGTTGGGGAACCAATCTAACCACCTTACTGCCAGGACCATTTTAACCATGAATCCAGCCCTAAATGAGATAATATAATCCATATGTAGGGAATGAGCCATTTGCCTGGTAAAGCATTGCTGGAAAATTGTGTCAATTTTTTCTAGAAACCAAATTTCTTTCCAAATTTTCCCAAACATGGACAAGCACAAGTGATTAAGCAGATCTTACCTCTTCTCGTACAACATGGCTCAGCTGATGAAACTGATCAAGCAAAAGGTTAAATATAGAATTTATCTATTTTTCCTTCGATGGTGAGTGCTTTACACATTTGTGAAGTCCTACACCTGCCGGTTTCTAGCCGACTTCAAAGTGCCTCCAGCCAGAAGAGGCAAGTACCTTTCATGACTAGTGGAGATGGAGACATGCGCCCTCACAATTCATTTGCCCCCAGGGTATTTTGTCATATTCAGATTAAATAAATGATTTGGAACCGGTTTGCTGTGCCACTACTCATTATCCTGCTGCAGAATCTAGTCAGTTGAGGGAGATGGAGGCAGGGCACAGTCCCCAAAATCAAGCTGACTCACCCCTAAATTTAGGCATAAAGTTAGGAACCAAGGGTGGTCAGAGATGACTAGCCGATGAGATATAGGTAAACTCATATGTTCTCAACCTATTTTCCATTGTGCCAAGTGATGGTCGATGTTTATATATGGTGAATATTTCCCTGAACTACACAGAGAAGCACCTGTAATTCCACTTCTTTCTTTCCAATTCAAGAAAAATACTAGAAAACAGTCAGAGTCAGATTATCATAATAAATAACCCAGGAAATGATATAACAAATTAAAAAATGTAAATCATTTCAAAAACCCAGTATTTTATTACTATTCCTGATGATGAACCTCACACAATAAATTGGGACAAATTATTGAATTTGTTTCCAAAGTTATGATAGCAAAGTGGAAGATTTCCCCAAAAGGTGGATATGAATATAAGAATATTAAAATTAGTATAGAGTGTTTATCTGCTCTTTGCTATGCAATAGAAATGCAATTGCCTTTTTAGTACACATGTTTGAGTTTCAGGAAAACAAATACAAAAAAAAATATGATACAAGCAACTCCCTAATCAGAGTGGAATTAATCAAGAAGAGGTTTAGATATTTCTTTTTAGTTGCCTGAAGAGAGTTCTCTGTAAACCTAACATCCTTATAATTCATAATTGTTTTTCTGTGGGCTGTATACTACTTATTGTTTTTTAATCCTTTAGTTTATGAAGTCAGTGCTGAAAAATCACTTAGTTGATGGCTAGATTAAACAGGAAAATCACCTAGATCCAAATTCACTTTAAATTGTATGTAGCCATATTCAATTAGAATGTTAGCAACCTAAATAATATTATTATACCATTGATATTACCACATAAGTTTTAAAGATGTTTACAATATCTTGTAAATTGATAAGATTTATTTATTTATTTATCTATCTATTTATTTATTTATTTTAGAGAGAGGGGAAGAGAGGGAGAGAAACATCGATGTGCAAGAGAAACATCGATCAGTTGCATCTGGCATGCAACCTGGGCATGTGCCCTGAGTGGAAATCAAGACGGTGACCTCTAGGTTTGCAGGACGAATCTCAACCCACTGAAATACACCAGTCAGGGCAAGTTGATAAGATTTTAAGGTACAAAGTGTCAATAAATAATGTGAGTCATGTTGTCTGGCTTCAATTCTAGACAATATTTATGGCTTACATTGAATGAAAATATAAATCCTACAAAGAGTTTGTGAACCATGCCCTTGGGACAGGGAGGAGGGTACTGCATACCTTTAGTAAATACTTTGAAATTGATTTTGTACACATGAATCACCTTTGGATTTTCCACAACCACAAGGAAAGAAAGAGAACTATAGTTAACTAATAAATGACTTCATTTCCTTAAAGGCCATTTAAGGAAGGATAATCTTAATTCAGAAATGCACAACATTTTCAAAATAAAGTGAACAATTGTAGAAACTCACATTTCAGGCTCCAAGCAGTAGCAGTACTTGAGACGGGATCCCCCTCAGTGTAACACCTCAAAATGTTAACCCCGGGTGTACAAGGGAAATGGGCGCTGAGTTTAATACTGGTGGTGTGATTTAGAAGCTGTGTGACTTTGGCAAAATTATTTAACCTTTCTGAATTTCATTTTCCTTACCTGTAAACTAGCAATGAAAAATATCCTCCTTTCATATCAATATGAGGAATAGAGATAATGAAGGAAAAGCATCAGCGCCTTATCTGACACACAGCAGGTCCTCCACACTTATTCTCAGTGCCAGCTATTACTGAATACTGGTCAATATTTGTTGAGCATAAATTATGCATGAAGCATAGTACTTAAAGTTTTAGCAGACACACAAGGAATAGAAGATGTAATCTTTTAAACACAAAACAAGGGAAAAAACAAGCTGACAGCATCCTTTTTACAAAGCAATATTCCTCATACACTCCCTAACACAGGACAACAGGAATGATCATGAGCTGGGGCAGATCAGGTGGAAGTCTGTTAACTGAAAAACACTTGTAGGAGTTTGTGAGCTTTCACTAGGTTCTGCAGGGACATGGTAAAGGGGCTTGGATGGTAGAAAAAAGGCAGAGGGCATTTTTGGTAGAAGAAATGGCATATGTAGCAGATGTACAGAGATAAATAAGCTGTTTTCTGGTTGATAAATCATGTTCTTTTTTTGTTTTAATGCATTCACAGCAGTCTTCTTTGTGACCTTTTCCCTCACCAGTCTTACCTTCGAGTATACAGTGCATTGAGGTTTGACAATCAAGGCCAACCTGGAAGGTGGCTAGAGGAATGACATATGTGTGGTTTGCTACATGTGCTGCCGAGATGTTTGGATACACAGGCCTATAAGTGAAAATAGGCTATCTTCTAGCCAAAGAGAAAGGAAGTTGGAACTTGGTCACCTGTAAGGGTCAGCATTACCAGGAGATTGACCAAGTGGCCACTATCTGGGAATACCTGAAGGGATTCACGGAGGCCCCATTACCTTTAAAGCATTTATGATCATCCAGGCAGCCCTCTAGGTTTTCCCAGTCTTGTGGCAATTGCAGTCATCTAGCAGCAGCTCTCGTGACAGCCCCACCAAAGCCAGTCTCCAACCAGGAGGTCCTGTGGGACTCTTCTTCTCCTACATTCCTTTGCTCTTGCTTAACTCTCTACTGCCTGTACTAACTCCTGGCTCTCCCAGTTTGCCTTCTGTCATGGTCTCTGTTTATTTATTGTTTCAAAGTGTCTACTTGTAAGTTTTCCAGTCTCTCACTCTCTCTCTCTCTCACACTCTCTCTGTCTCTCCTCTTTCTGACATACACAGTTAAGTCCTCATTTAACGTCATTGATAGGTTCTGAGACTAAGCAAAATGTCATATAACAAAACCAATTTTACCATAGGCTAATTGACACCAGCAAGAGTTATGTTGCTATGGCATCTCATCAGCATTATAATAAAATGTTGAGGAAACCAGAAAACCATGTTATTCGAAGACTTGCTATAGTCTAAGAGAGAGACTCTGATTGATTGATTCATCTAGTTACTCTCAGTATAGAATTGTTCCTGCTGCATAAAGTTTTCTGGCAAGCCTATAAATAGCTACCTTTGTTTCAAGTGTCCTAGTTAAATTAGGTGGTCAGGATGAAGTTATGGTGGTCAATACAAGCATGACAATGAATAAGTAAGGAGTCACCCCTGGACAGGGGGCTGTGGGCATGCTATACACTGAGAAAATCATTAACTCCCCCCAAATCCTGTAGCTGCTTCACAGTCATCACTAGGGTTGACTAATCCTGTTATAATATAAAAAACAGAGTAGAGTGGACAAAGAGGGAGAGGCAATAATCAAAGTTAAAAATTCCCCAGAAAGTCCCCTTAAATCAATCACTTATAGACTAAGGAATTTTCCTGTTGGCTAATTTGTTCCTATACAACTGTGCTACATTACCTGATATAGAGACTAAATGAGAAGAATGATGATAAGAATAACTAATATTTATTTAGTAACTAGGCTAAATAATCTCATGTTATTTATGTAACAATATATAACTACATTTCATTATTATCATTTCCTCCTTACAGATAAGAAAACTAAAAGTCAGAGAAGTCACGGTTCTTAACGCTGATAAATGGAAGGTGCGAGATTTAAAACTAGCTCTTTCTGACAACAAGGCCCATGAGCTTAACCACTATCCTATAGTGTTTCTCAACTAAAAGAAAAAAGAATTTTGGAAGATAAAAAAGGAGCGTATTTCACAGAAGAAACCTCAGACAGGAGGTCAAGGGATAAAATATTAAGAGGAAAACACTCAAGACTGAAGAGGTCAAAAGATCTCTAGGTCAGTGCCATCCATCCAGTAGGGAAGGAAAGCTAGCTGAGTCACTTTCTGCTTGTTGACAATATATACTGGTGACTCAATAACTCATTTGCTTTCAGACTCCCACCCCAGCAAAAAATAACTGGCCCCAAGGACAAGCTGAGAGACAACAAGAGTGTCCCAGGCTCCTGATGTCCTGAGGTGTTACTCCAGTGCTTTTCACCTTCCGATAGACACCAAAACCCTCACAAGAATCACCAAGTAAGCGTTCTGAAGACAAAGCGTATACTTCATTGTACTGCATATTCTAAACTCGATCGTGTATTCTCTAACACAGATTTTGTCTTATATAAAGCCAAATTGATTCAGATCAAAAATAACATCCCAACATGGCTATTGACTTATTTTTGGCATGTGTTATTTGCACACCACACTCCTAACCAGCTTTTGGGTAAACCCATTCCAAATAATTATTGGGGCAGAGTTCAAACTTTGGGCAGAAAAAAATCCAAATCAAAATAAAGAGGGCTTGTCACCCAGGTGCATTCTCTATAAAATCAACAACAGTAAACCAACCAGAAGGAAAACAAGAAATTAAAAATGAGTGAAAATAAAGGTTCATCCAGATCCCATTATAAGATCTAAAGTATTGTCATTGAGTCCAATGATTTACTGTTTCTGTTTTGAAGAAAATGTATTAGGGACACAGTTTAACATAACATTTTTCTTTAGGTTACTGGAAGCCACTGTGGTGCTCCCATCTAAAGTTGGCACTGCTCTGCTGTGGGCTGAATGCCCTCCTCTTATGGCTTTTCCTCTTTCACATCCACCACAGCCTATTATTTTTACCATAGACATTGAGCAATGCATTGGGTCTGTGTTTGGGAAGAAACCTGATGAAATTTCTGTGTTTGCTAAGCTATGGCAGGGTGGTGGTGGGCATTCCCTGAAGTCCTAACTCCTGAGAACCTATGAAATTCATGGAAATCGGGGTGTAAACCACCTGGAGTTCTCCTCACTGACAGTTTACCACCCCATCCCATACCCTGTGAAGCTCCATTTCTTGAACCTTTCTTGTAAGCCCAAAGGGTAATAGTTCAATACAGACACTGAACTGATCTCCTGACCTCGTACTAGTCCTGTTGGCTATGATAAATAAAGTACTCGATCTGAATCTTCATCATTTTAACCCAGTTCCTATTAGTGGTCATCCTGTCTCCTCATTGGACAAAACCACCGGAACCTGTTCAGCCACTGGGTAAGAAAGTCACCTAGCTCAAAAGGCAATATCTGAACTATTTATCAGGAGACAAAACCTAGGGGTGGCAAGTTATTTCCAAGAGAATGTAGGGGCGGCAAATTGATAGAACATTGCTCATTACAAGTCTGAAAAGCTGAAAAACAACTGTGATCATGCATGTCTTGGGGCTGGCCCATTCCATTGTGATAGCAAATAAAAGCTAATGAACAAAATATTCTGACTCACATCCTGGAATCAACATTAGACACTACCTCAGGGTTTTAATTGAGGAAATAAAAAAATAAATATGAAAGCAATGTCAAAGTGTATTTTTAATTTGCCTTGGAAAGTTGGGCATATTCTATTTTTAGTTCAGAAATTACTTTTTTGAAGAGTTGATGTTAACAAAGCATCAACCTGCTGAAATGGTCCTACTGTTTAGCTCAGTTCTCTTGCTAGGCTCTTTCTTAAACATGCACTAAGGACGGACACCTATCCATTGCTCTGCCTTCCATTGTCTTTCTCCCACTGTACCGTTCGCACATCTTCCATTGTCTTTAAGTATACATGTGTGCTTTCTTTAGCCCAAAGAAGTAGTGATTCTTACTTTTTTGTCACTGCCCATAATTCTTAATGTACATACTAGGTCAAAACATACAAAATTGCCATTTTTATAGGGCAATAATAGTCAATATTAACAATTTCATATGGTTCAATTTAATATTTGTGTATACATACAGCTATTATATAATGGATGTGTTCATCTGTGTGTGCTGTTGTGTGTGTTTGTGTTGTCTGCATATCTGTGTGTGTCTCGGAGAAAAGCACTTAAAATATTTTATTTCAACTAATTTTTACAATATCCTAAAACGTAGGTCAATTTCTTCAAGGTACACATGTAAAACTGAGAGCTAAGAAAATGTGATAACTGGTCTAAGATCTTTCAGAATTCAAATCTAGGATTTTTTCCCTGGGCCACATACTCTTTTCAGGCTCCTCATTATCAAAACTACTGAACTGGCTGAATCATCTGGACTTCAAAGCTGTCTTGGGAAGCGACCCAAATGAGAGCTCCCAAGCTTGCAGACACCTCTTCTCTCATCCTGTCCCAGGATGCAGTGGTGCACGAAGGAGTAAGCACATTCTATGTCTGCTTATCCATTAGTGAACCTTGGACAAATTAATTACAATGTTTTAATGGTTGTCATACTTATTTCTATAAGAAAACTGGAATAAATCTTCCAGCCATTTTTTTTGCCCAGGTGTGAGCAAAATCTTGCAATTATTTTATAGGAATGCTAATTTTCCCAAAAACCTGAAGAAAAAAAAGTGCTATTAATATAGTTGAGCAAAGGTATCCAAACACTGTGAAATCTAGTTCTCTTCCAAATTATAGAGCGTGAGAAGTGGTTTGCTGGCTTTCCGGTTCCTTACCGTGGGCATTTTGGGAAGTAAGACCACAGCCGTCTAGATTTACATTGTTGGGATTACTTTCTTTCAGTAAATGCTTATGCAAATCCATCCTTTCCTGTTGGTCTTGACTGGTTTGTTTTCAACTCACATTCTTAGCTGAACTAAAGTTATTTTAAAAAGAGCAAAACCTTTGCACTAGGTCATGAGAACATTCACAGTTCACAATTTTAGTAACCAGTAGCAGCAAGGGAGCTGGCGTCCAGATAGCAGTCATCTGCAGGATTCTCTGAAGAAGTCTACATAACACAGACAAGCAAACAAGAGTGAGGTCACCAGGAAAATGTCTTTGTTCCAATCATCTAGTTCATTAACTAAAACGGAAGGGGTAGGAAGAGCTGTTCCCAGCACAAATATCACCAGAACAGAGGGCCCTTCAGAATTACACTTTTCTCAGACTGAGGTTTCTGTGTGCGTGGTAGTTTGTTCTTGGGAATCTGCAAGGTTCCAATGAGCAGGTTTTAGTTTGTGTTTTCATTTTTCATGGTCGTCTACAAGTGATCAGCATGAGTGTAACTTGCATCACTTGGATGACCACCCTGTGACCAAGAACTATGGCATGATTTCCAGGCCCATGTTTGCAGCTGTGTTTATAAATTATTGGGAGTTACTAAAAAAAGAATGGGTAAGAACTGAATAGTGATGTCCTAAGCATAGTATGAAGGAACATACGTTCTGGAGTAGGGAAAGGGGAGTTGAATTACACCTATACGTTAATGAGGACAGTCAGGAACACACTCATATTCGGAGCCATGATGTGGTTACAGCAAAATTAGACCAGTTGTCTAATTTTAATGTGGCACATTTCAAACTCATTGGTTTTATAATTTTAAACCTAAGTATTGTGTAACTTTGTTTTGCCTTGATAGTTGTAAAAGAATTGTAGGTTTATAGAGTGTATAACTAGTACTGGTTTGTACATATGTAAATGTATTATTTTCCTCAAGCAGCCATGACACAGTAATACAAACTGGATGCCTTAAACACCAGCAACTTAATATTTCACAATCTGTAGGTTACAAGTCCAAAATCACGGTGTCAGCAGGACCATGTTTACCCTGAAGGCCTTTCTCCTAGCTCCTGGTAGTTGCTTGGCTGGTGACAGTATCACTCTAGTCTTCAGGTGGTGTTCTCTCCACATGAGTGTCTGTGTCCGAATTTCCCTTCCTGTAGGAACATCGGGTCATGATGGATTGGGACCCACCCTACTCCAGTATGACTTCTTAACTAATCGCATCTTTAACAATCCTGTATCCAAATAAGGTACTAGAGGTTAGGACTTCAATATATGAATTTGAGGGACACAATTCAATTCATAACAGGAAACAACATAATAAAAATAATTGCCATCAATATGTCTGCATATTGCTCAATATTGAGAAACCATGCTCAAAATTATGTAATTCTGGTAAGAACAAAAAACTAGAACTCATTTGCTCATAGAACCTTATAAAATCTTTATTAAAAATAAATTCTCGATGGATCAAATTATAGAAAAGACTGAAAAAAAACCCAAATTGCTTATTTAGCCAGACCACTTGAAGAGAATGAATCTCTTGGCCTACAAGTAACATAAGAACTCACAATGAAAAAAGATAAATAGGCCTGGTGGTATGATAAAATGGAAATTTGTAACTGAAATGGTATTTGCAAACATACAGGCAGGTATAAACAATGAAACTGTAACTCTTGTCCCTTGCTGGCACTAGGGTGAATAGTTACCACCCTTTTACAAAGCACTATTGAAAACACTATAAAGTTTTCTCAAAGTTAAGAAATGTATAGATGACTTTTTAAAAAATTATTTATTGAGGTAAAATTCACATAAAATAAAATTAACCACTTCAAATATATGACTCTGTGACATGTAGTGCATTCACAGTGTTGTGCAACCACCACTTACACCGAGCCCAGAACATTTCCATCTTCCCAAAAGAAAACCCCCAAACCATTGAACAGTTACCCCTTCTCCCACATACCCCTTGGCAATGACTAATCTTGCTTTCTGTTCCTATGGATTTACTATTCTAGGTATTTCATATAAATGACATCATACAATATCTCATCTTTTCTGTCTGGCTTCTTTCATTTGGCAATACATTTTGGAGGTTCATCACCTTGTAACATCTATCACTACTTTGTCCCTTTTTATGGCTGAGTAATATTCCATTGTATATATGTATGTTCCTCAATTTGTTTATTCATTCATCCGTTGATGGATATTTGGTTTCCATCCATTTTTCTCTATTGTGAATACTGTAGCTACAAACCACCTTTAACAAAAAAAGTCATACCTTGCTCTGGCCACATGGCTCAGTTAGTTGAAATGTTGTTCAGTACCCTGAAAGGTTGCCAGTTCAGTTCCTGATCAGGGAACATGCCTAGGTTGCAGGTTTAATCCCTGGTTGAGGCGACTTTGGGAGGCAGCTGATCAATGTTTCTCTCTCACATCAATGTTTCTCTCTCTGTCTCTCTCTCCCTTCTCTGCCTCCCTCCCTCCCTTCCTTTCTTTCTAAAATCAATGGAAACATATACTCAAGTGAGGATTAAAAAATATCTTTTATT